ACTATAAAAGAACTATATTGGCGATACAGTGTTAGCCTGATGCTAGTCAAACAGATTTTCACTATATAATAATTTGGTTTCCTTTATAGTGCCTTCAGACAAACAATTCTATAGGCCTGTTGCTTACCAGACCTTTATGCTGTTGGCTGAGTTTGACCTTATAATGGGACATTGTTTATGAAGTTTACATAGCCTCTGTGAAATAACTTAGAACTTCATCTCTTGTTGAAATCAACAGCAAATTTCCATAGGATTGGAATGGATTTAGCTATGTAGACCCACTGAAATCAATGGGACGCAAGTTGATAATGACTAATTTAGTCTTACTTATTTCATTTGGCCTACTCCAAGCTAGAGATGTGTTTCCCAAACTTGGACTGCCCAGAAATGAGTGCACACCCTGATGCTCTTTGAGTTCAAATATTCATACATTTCAGTTCTTGCAATGCATTCTGCAAAAATGGGAAATTTGTCCAATAAAATTAGCAGCTTTGGAAATTGTGTAACACCCCCCCCCCCATCCCCGTATACCCCAACCTTGATCTGGCTGCTGCTGGCATCAGCTCTGCTAAGTGTTAACATATAACCACAAAGGATTATCCCTGAGGAAAGCACCCCATAAAAGAAATACAGTTGTTCTCTTCTCTCTCATTCTCTCTGTGTACTGTTCTTGAAAGATTGAAACCATAAATCACTGATCACATACTAAGCATGTTATAAACATTACAATGGAACTGTTCTTTTCTATAAATGTTTTTGGCAGCTTTTTGAGTGCACCATTTTAACTGGACTTAGAATCAGGAGTGCATGACTTCTGCCAGAATAGATAGCTAGTCAACCCATAATGTTTACAGTCAGTAGCTGAGCTACTTTGGGTGGTAGTATATTAGTCTTCTGCCTTATACTCATAACCCTGCATATCTATTCTCTTGGAAAAGAGGGAATCCTTTTGAATGACCTTTCTAGCCTGAATACAGCTCATTTGCAATCTACATGCCTGAATAGCTATGCCATATGATGGCCCACTATAATATCAGAGATCCCTCGTCTGAGTCTCTATGACATCTCAGATGTTGCCAGCCTCAAAGGACACAAATTGATTTTGGCACATTGAACACAGTGGCTCTTGCCTTCCAGTGAAAATGGTTTTCCAGTATTTCCCAACTTATAATGTGCTGTTAATTTTGTTATAAGACACAAAAATATCTGTTTTTTCTAAACTTTGAATGGAAGCATGGAAACTAGTATAAAGTCCGAGTCAGTTTCTATGATGAGTTGTCTAGAAACAGGCATACATTGGACAGTAAGTGTAGAACCCAACAGTTGTAACACATTTCCTGCTCTATTAGCTTTATAGGACTGTCTCAGATAACACAGCCTCTTCTAATCAGCTATTTAAACAAGACAAATGTAAACCATACCTTTCAGATGTAGCATTGGATGCTGATTTTAATCATGACTGCGTTGCTTGTTCTACAACAGCAGTAACTGCATTCAGCATCGGTTGAATGTTTGCAGAATAGATTTGTAGTATTTGTATATATCACTTTTTAAAAGTAGTAATACTGATTTTTGCATTGATTTTTACTCAGCAAAATTGCGGGAAATCTTTAAAACGTATCAGTTTGATACATTAGTACCAAACTAAACATAAAGAAGTAAATAAAACAGGTGTTTTCATTCCCACATGGAATATAGAGATCACTTACCATAGTCTTGTCCATTTGCACTGGAAGAGTCTTTCAGAGACCCTTCCAAGCATGGCCACATGGCTATATTTGCAAATTCAAATTCTGTGCTCTTCTCACCTTCTCCCCTCTCCTGATCTGGACAAATGTATGCTAACATAAGTTATATCTGTCATCCATGCAATATTCTCTTCAATCCTTTTGAAACTTACTAGCATTATTAACATTTATAGTATACTTTGTAGTATAGCAGAATTTTAAAACAATAAAGTCCAGTAAAAAATCAAAATTGCATATTTAAAAGGCAAAATTGAAATAAGTATTTTCACATTGTTCCTAAAGGTGAAAAGAGAAGGGACTACTCTGTCTTGAAGAAATGCATTCCATAATTTGATGGCAACACAAGAGAAGTTCCTTTCATGTATACCTGACAAATGATATCAGTAATGATATCAGCCACAGGGAATGAATTATCCTTTTTCTGTTCCTGTCACCAACATGCATCCAATTTTCAAAAAGCTTATTCTTCCTTGTCCTCAGGGTAAATGAAGGAAGGGTTGGGACAAATCCCTCCAGAATCCATCCCTCTAGCACCCATGGACTTCCTATCATGGTGAGCCCTGTTATGCAGCGCAAGCCAGGCCAAAAGGAAGTCTGCAAACACAGACTATCAATTGCACAACCAACGACCTTCCTCATCCAGTACGGCTGCAAATTTTGTGCAAATTTCCCCGAATTTGTGCCGTTTTCCTCATTTGTGCTACATTCTTCCATAGACTAAAGTAGAGCACTGGGCAAAGTGGACAAATTAGGAAATGTGTTCAAATTTGAACTGTGAAAGATTCACAAATTGAACGTGGGCACTTGCCAAGCAAGTTGCTAACATTTTCAGTGCCCATGTGCTTGTGCTTGCTTTAATGCTTGCAGGGCGTGTCTGCATGTGTTATGAACAAAAGGAAAATTCTCATCCACCCCAAGTGAGTTTCACGTGCCTCTGGGTCTTGTGGCCAATCACAAGGCAAGACACATGGCTTACTTATTTGAATGGAATAGATGTGTCAAAAAGTTAAATAGTTGGTGATTGTGCATCAACATATATTCCTGCACGTTGATGTCTGAAGCTACATTTAGAGCAAAAAAGCACATGTGTGACCCACCCACCCCACAACATCAAGGATTAAGTACAGAATCACTTTGGACAAGGGTTGCACTTGTGCCTCTGTAGTGTTGCCAGCAAGTATCAAAATATATTATTAAAAATGATTTAGTTTGCCATTAATTTCCCTGAGCTATGATCATATAACTACTTTTTCAGCTACCTCATCTTGGATGAAATTCATTCCAGCTGCCAAGGGACCTGTATGCAGAAGCTTATTCTCAGAGAGGTTTTCTTAGTAGGAATTTTTCTGAAAAAAATTCCTTGTGTCTTTAGACACTGCAGTTGCCAATTTGTGGCTCACCAGAGGCCAACCCCCTCCATCAAAGATTCTCGGGGTATTTGTTTTACACTACTGTGTGTTCAAAAGTTCATTTCTCACCACTGCAGTGTAACAAAGCCATTAAATAAAAGCATGAATAACATTGCTTCAGTGACTGAATTTTGCCCAAATTGGGTATTAGACAAGCATCATTATTGTTGCTCTTTTTTGCCTTTAACATGAAGGTGTGACTTTGAACTTATAATCCTCATCAAGTTCATAGGCTTCTTTTTTCAAGCATGAGGTTATCAATAAAAGAGCAACAAGATTATATAAGTATACAATTGGTTGTTACTTAGGATGCTAATATGATATTCAGGCCAAAATGGTCCAAAAAGAAAATCTTACTGCATTCTGCAAAAACTGCTTAAGTTACAATTCTGTGCATATTTGGACACAGGAAGGGCCTGCATCTCCCATCATACCTTGGCTACAGTGTGACTGCTTGGTCCTGTTGGGAGTTTTAGGCCTTTTCACTGTCTAAACATTAATAGGACCATGTCCTTAATTGCTATTGCTACCACATTTTCCTACTGAACCACATGCCACTGAATTGTGTATTTGCTTGTTTGTTATATTTATATCCTGCTTTTTCCTTACAACAAACTCAAAGTGGCTTACATCATTCTCCTCTTCATGCTCTCCGTCTTATCCCCACAACAACAACCCTGTGAGGAGGGTTTGGCTGAGAGTCTGTGGCTGGCCAAAAGTCAGTCAGTCACTTCCATGGCCAAGTGGGGACTAGAACTCAGATCTCCTGAGTCCCAGTCCCACATTTTTAACCACTACACCACGCTGGCTCCAATTGCTATTGGTTATAAGGAAGAGATACGGCAGCAAGTCTCACAATCAAGATTATCAGTAAAGTTCCCCCATGTCAGGCTAGGGACAAATGTAAAGTGGAATTCTATAAAGCCCACCTCAAACAAGAAGTAATCTTGCAAAGCTCTAAAATTATTTTCTGGTTTGGGTCAGTATTTGACTGGGAGATAAATCCAATTCCTACCTCTACAGCCTTCACCATTCCAAAAGTTGTCTTCTGCCAGTTCCTAAACCCTAAGCTCTTCCTTTTCTTTTCTTAATTTCAAGAGGTGAAAAAAGTTGCATCAAAGATATGTGGGAAGGAGACAGGAAGAAGCTTTATTCCCTTTCTTCCCTTCTCTGTCATCTTGATTGCCAGATGAGACTGGAGAAGGACATGGGAGACTATGAGTGCAGTAGCCCTTCAGAAAACTACATCTGCTACAGTTCCTCATTCTCTGGCATGTTGGTAGTGGGTGCAATGAAATGACAGTGACTCAGTGTAGTGTAGTGGTTGGAATTCTGGACTGTGACTGGAGAAATATGGATTCAAGTCACCACTCAGCTATAAACCTCACTGGGTGACTTCGGCCAATCACTGATCTTCATAGGTTTGTTGTAAGGTTAAAGAGAAAAGCAGAATATATGTCACCTTGGGCTTCTTGGAAGGAAAAGCAGAATATAAATTTAAGAAATAAATAATAGAAAAGAGAGGGAGGGAAACCTTATTTCTTTCTTCTTCCGATACACATCTATTTGTTGCTAATAAAAGGGAAGGCAGATGGGGTCTGTCTTGGGGATAGAGTAGTTTGCAAAGATGGGCAGGTAATTTTTTCTGTGCCCTCAAGATCGGCCTGGAAAATCGTATTCACGGTGTTCTGACTGTTTTCCCCAAAGATCCTGAATACTTCCCAAGTTAATCTATGGCAAGCTTTGAATAATTTGCCCATCTCTATTCACAGGAGACCAGCTGTAACTCAAGCTTAACACTTTTCTTGTGGAAAGCTTGGAGAAGGTCATGACCAGAAAGTTTGCTTGACTAAAGCAATATACAGGCTTGAAATAGATGCAAAACTTGTGCATGCCAGTCCTATGTATATATCTACTCAGGTATTAGCCTTGCTGAGCTCAATGATGCTTACTTCCAAGAAACTTTATGAAAGATTGTAGGCAGCAGCCTCAGAACCCATGTAGAGAACTGATTTCACTTGTCCTAGCAAGCATCAGACGCAGGCTATGAACTAGAATTCTAAGGAGTTATTATCTTCTAAATATTGTTGTGCTGGATACCTGGACTGCCAGCATTATGAATGTGTGTTTTTATTGTTCTAAAGAAGAAGGGACACAAGAAAGATGCATCTCTTCATTTCCCATTTCTGGTGTAACAATTGTGAGGAGGGACAGGGTTTAAATTTGTAATGGTGATGAAATTTAGAAATGGGTGGGTAGAAATGAGTCCCCCAAGGTTAGAAATCCTGAACTTATGGGACCAGCATCAAGGACAGGCATAGCTGGGTAAACTTCTGAAGGTCTACTGCCAAGAGCAGGCTTGTAGCCACAGGTGGGTTCGGAGAGCCTGCCTCACCATTTTTATTTATTTTTTTTGCCTTCTCTATTTTCACTTTACAAACTTGTCATGAAATAGCCTGCAAACACAATGAACTCCCCCCACACAAACATTTTTGGCTGCCCACCCCCACAGATTTTTTTGGCTGGCTATGAGATGGATAATAGCCATGGAGATGTGCTGCTTCTCTTCATCACTGAAATCCATTTAGTAACCTACGCCTTGCTTTAGTGATGAATGGTGGCAATGAAAGGCAGAAGCAGTAGATGCCACTTCCTGTTTGTGGAACTGGTCTGCCTATGAAGCAAGCAAACAATAACAATGATGAGGCAGAAGATGGGAAGCAACTGAAGCTGGTTACAATGGTGTTAAGAAGGTAGAAGAAGGTGATTGAAGGTATTCGAAAACCTAGAGCCAACACAGTTCATTAAGAACCACTTGACATCTCCTCTCTCAGTTTGTTTCAGTTTAGTGCCAGTCCTCTTGCCTGCTAATTTCTTTTCCATACATGTCCCATACATAATAAAACCTGAAGCAAGGGAAAACAAAGAAACAAAAAACAAAGAAAATGGTAGTCACGGTCAACTGTTACACTCCTCCTACATTGCCAGCATGAACTCTGGGGAACAGGAGGAACTTAAACTAGGGTCCCAAGGGTTACTCTGATCCTTATTCCATAGAAAATGGCTTCCCACACTGCACTGTAGTCTTCTGAATAAGCTCAGAACCTGTATCGATGTCTGAAGGAAGTATAGGATGCCCCTCCACATTATTTCTGAGTACTCCTATTTTTTCTTTTCAAGTTTTGACAGCCTTATACCACCAGCTGCCCCATGGAAAAGATCCTTATGAATTGGCATATTTTAATATTTATTGTGATTTTATTACTGCCTCATTACATGACTTGTAAGTTTCCTTGGAAGGTTGATATCCTGAATGGTGAATAAATTCTGAAATAAACAATAAATAGAATGATCAATAAATAAAAATCAGTCAAGATTCAGTGTAGGGGCAGAATTCAGTGGCATCACAGCATCAAGCATCAAATGCTAGTGCAGTGTCATTGCTGCTTGTGGATGCAAAGGAAATAAGCAAGCTTTTATCCCCAGATTTTGGTGCTGGTGCCAAGTTTCAGGGGCAGTGCCCTGCTTTTCCACTTTGCATTGACACATGTCCTTTTTCCTCTGGAGGTCTGCCTGCCTGTACAAACTTCATGAAGATGGGCGCATATGTACTCATTAATCTACTTGCCCATGTTATCTCATTCCATTCTAGTCTCAAGGCCAGAGATGAACTATTGCCAGATTAGGCTGAATGTCTTCCACTGGGCCCCTGTGAGAACCTTTCACATACATCTTCCTCTGAGGACATTATTCAAGAGTTAAGGAAGCTCTTCTCACATTTGTCAAAAGCCTGCCAGTATAAAACAAGAGAGGATAATGCTGGTTTTGCCTTCATTCTTGACTTCAGTGTCACCTTTGCTTCATGGCTCCATCTTGCTTTTGGGGCAGTGACATACTGGGCCCTGGATTAGGCCTCGTCAAACTGGAAGATCATACTCTGTTAATGTATGTGTTAAATATAGGCACTGTTTTGTTATTTCCGCTTGGAGTACAAGAGTTGCTCTGAGTCTTGTATATCTTCGTATCTATTTTCCCTATGTAAATAAATTTGATCTCTATCTCCTAAGTTATGTGTGCTTTCTTCTATGTAAAACTGAGTATGGATTCCAAAGCCTCCTCCTTGGTTACTTGCTATGGTGTAACGTTTCAGGCTTGGGGCTTGAAATTAAGGGTACTGGTTTGGACCCTTACTTCAAAATCCTAAATGTGTCCCAGAAGGTTCCTTGGGTCAGGTGGAGGTAAATGTAACAAGTGTGATGACAGTTTATGTGGGTAACCATTCACCCCTGCATACAAAGTAAGGGTAACCCCCTCACTATGTTAAATTATCAATGATAGAACAGCATCATTATCACAGTGCTGTGTCACCACCAAACCTTACACAGCTTTTAGCAGTCTGCCCAAGAAATGGTTAGCTAAGGCTCTGGCAGATCTGTCCATGAATAACAATTGTTATGGGTTAGATTTAAGTTCCCTCTCTCTCTCCCCTCATGTAGTTCTTTTTATTTCAGCAGAGGGCAGTTGTAGGACAACAGGTAGCAATCCATCTGGAAGATGAGAGGATTCCAAACTCTTATTCAGGTCTTCCAACATGTAAGTGGTTTAGCATGTTGAACACATAAGAGAGTGAAGGATACACATGCAATAAAAGCATGAGTCCTGATAATTGATTGCTGGAAGTACTGGAAGGCAAGAAAAACAGAAGAAAAACAGAGACTTACATGGAAAACCAGCAAGACCATGCTGCAAATATTAAGTCGAATCCAGGCTTAGGAGCATGGAATAGGAGCAAGCGAATGCAGGCAGACGCACGCGGCTGCGACCTCGACGGCAGCCAGCTCCACCGGCCAGCGCGGCCGCACGCGGCGCCGGAGAGCGCCGCCCGCCAGCCCAGGTGATCGGGCGCGCGCGGTGCGCGACGGGGCGGGTCTCGGAGGCGCCCTGCGGAGTCAAAGCCGCGGCAACGGCCAGGAGGGAACGGCCCCCCAGGCAGGAAACACCGACCCCGCGCTGCAAGAGACGCTTCCGCCCACCCCCAGCATCACGCCGCTCCCGGGCAAGCGAATGCAGGCAGACGCACGCGGCTGCGACCTCGACGGCAGCCAGCTCCACCGGCCAGCGCGGCCGCACGCGGCGCCGGAGAGCGCCGCCCGCCAGCCCAGGTGATCGGGCGCGCGCGGTGCGCGACGGGGCGGGTCTCGGAGGCGCCCTGCGGAGTCAAAGCCGCGGCAACGGCCGGGGCCGGCGGCCTCGGGCCGGCGGCCGAAGGGCGGCGACCAAAGGGGTCGCCGCCGTTTGGGGTGCTGTTCGGGGGGACGAGAGGGGGGCTGGGCTGGCCATGGACTCTTGTTGAAATAGGCTTGCCTACTGCTGATTCTCAGGGAAGAGGAAGGATCCCCTTTTTTCTTTTTTTTTCTTTTTATCGTTCTTTTTCTCCTCCTCCGACCTACTTTATAATCTTACCCTGCTTTAATTAGTGCTTTGAGTCATTCCTGGCCATGTCGACGTTTATATATCCTGGGGAACCCACGGGGGCTGCTATTGGCGTGGTCACGGGCAATGGTCGTTACAACAATAGGGGCTTAACGTGTCCACGTAGAAGAAGGATGGACAGATGGCTGACACCTGTCCCTCCTTCTGATCCTGCCCCCAACCAGAGGGCGCCAGGTAGCCTTGTCAACCACCCCTCGGGTCTGACGGTGCTGCTGCTCAATGCCAGGTCGATCAATAATAAATCTTCCCTCATCCATGACTTGATTGTGGATGAGGGGGCCGACCTGGCTTGCATAACGGAGACCTGGGCGGGAGAGGGAGGGGATGTTGCCCTCTCCCAGTTGTGCCCACCCGGGTATCTGGTTCAACACTGTTCACGCCCAGAAGGGAGGGGAGGGGGAGTCGCGTTGGTTTATAGAGCCTCCATCTCTCTCACGGGTCTTCCGGTCCCTTTGAGACCAGGGCTGGAGTGCCTCTACTTGGTGTTGGGCGAACGAGACAGATTGGGGATTCTATTGGTGTACCGTGCACCTTTCTGCCCAGCAGTCTCCCTATCTGAGCTGACAGAGACCGTCTCGGACCTGGTGTTGAGGACCCCCAGGATGTTGGTCCTGGGGGATTTCAATCTCCATGCCGAGTCTGGACTGACCGGGGCGGCTCAGGACTTCATGGCCTCTATGACGGCCATGGGCCTGTCTCAACACGTCACTGGCCCTACCCATGAACGTGGACACACTCTGGACCTGGTATTCACGACGGGGCAGGTAGAGGATGACCTGAGGGTGAAGAACTTATGTTTGACTCCCCTGTCATGGTCAGATCACCTCCTGGTGAGGTTTGTGCTCGAGAGCGGCCTCTCCCTCTATAAGAGTGCAGACCCGGTTGTATGGGCCCGCCCCCGGAGCCGGATGGATCCGGATGGATTCCTGGGGGCCCTGGGGGAATTTCCGGCTGACAAGACTGGTGCTCCTGTCGAGGCTCTGGTCGAACTGTGGAACGGAGAGATGACCAGGGCTGTGGACACAATCGCTCCTAAGCGTCCTCTCCCACCGGGCAGAGTCCGCTCTTCCCCTTGGTATACACCTGAATTACGGGCGATGAAGCGAGTTGGGAGACGGCTAGAGCGTAGGTGGAGGAAATCACGGGATGAATCTGACCGAACACACTTGAGAGCCCACTATCGGGCCTATGCTGTGGCGGTGAAGGCGGCGAAAAAGAAGTTTTTTTCTGCTTCCATTGCCTCCTCACAATGCCGTCCAGCGGAGCTTTTTCGAGTGGTGCAAGGCCTGGTTCGCCTGGGTCCTAAGGAAGATCCGATGCCACCCTCAAAGGCCCGCTGTGACGACTTTGCCAGGCATTTCAGGGAGAAAATCGCTCAGATTCGTCACGAGCTGGACTCCACTAATGAATCAGAGGTCTCTGAGGAGTCGCCAATGCCACCGTCTGGTCCAAAATTACTGGAGGAATTTCAATTATTGCGGCCCAATGATGTGGACAAGGTGCTTGGAAGAGTACGTCCCACCACGTGCCTATTGGATCCTTGCCCGTCTTGGTTAATAAATAACTCCAAGCACGGGATTGGGACCTGGATCTTGGAAGTGGTTAACGCTTCTCTGAGGGAGGGTCGAGTGCCTGCCCCTTTAAAGGAGGCGGTAATACGACCGGTCGTGAAGAAAGCGTCACTGGATCCAGAGATGGCCACTAACTATAGACCTGTGGCCAACATCCCGTTTCTGGGCAAGGTGCTGGAGCGAGTGGTGGCGGGACAACTCCAAGCACTCTTGGAGGAAACTGATTATCTGGATCCTTTTCAGTCCGGCTTCAGACCCGGGTACAGTACTGAATCTGCCTTGGTCGCCCTGTACGACGACCTGTGCAGGGAGAAGGACAGGGGGAGTACATCCCTGTTGGTTCTTCTGGACCTCTCGGCGGCTTTCGATACCATCGACCATGGTATCCTTCTGGATAGACTTGCGGGATTGGGGGTTGGAGGCACTGCTTTGCAGTGGTTCCGCTCCTATCTCGACGGTCGATTCCAGAAGGTAGTGCTGGGGGACCATGTCTCTACGTCATGGCAGCTATGCCATGGGGTACCACAGGGCTCCATTCTATCCCCTCTGCTATTTAACATCTATATGAAACCGCTGGGAGAGGTCATCAGGAGGTGTGGGCTGCGGAATCATCAATACGCTGATGATACCCAGCTTTACCTCTTGTTTTCCACTAATCCAGGTGAGGCAGTGGCTGTGCTGAACCGGTGCTTGGCCGAGGTAAGGGAATGGATGAGGGCCAATAAACTGAAACTCAACCCAGACAAGACGGAGGTCCTGTTGGTTGGCGGATCGGGTTTCGGAGAGGGTGGATTTGACCTGGTCCTGAATGGTGCAACACTCCCTCTTAGGGATAAGGTCCGCAGCTTAGGTGTACTCCTCGACCCGGAGCTTTCTTTGGAAGCTCAGGTGACAGCGGTAGCGAGGAATGCCTTCCTTCAGCTTCGGCTGATTAATCAGCTGCGCCCCTACCTGGAATACGACTGCCTGGCGACGGTGACACACGCGCTGGTGACTTCCCGCCTAGACTTCTGTAACGCGCTTTACGTGGGGCTTCCCCTGAAGACAGTCCGAACACTTCAATTGGTGCAAAATAGAGCTGCCAGGTTGCTGACGGGGACGGGGCGTTATGCTCACATGACTCCAGTCCTCCATCAGCTTCACTGGCTTCCCATTGAAGCCCGGGCCCAATTCAAGGTGTTGATTATGACCTACAAAGCCCTAAACGGCTTGGGTCCTGGCTACCTGCACGAGCGCTTACGTCCGTATATGCCCGACCGCCCTTTGAGATCTGCGGGAGAGTCCCTTCTCCAAGAACCCTCCATGAAAGAAATTAGGAGAGTAAGTACCCGGAGGAGGGCTTTCTCTGCGGTGGCGCCCAACCTATGGAATTCACTCCCCAAAGAGGTCCGCCTGGCACCGTCGTTACTGGTTTTTCGGCGCCAGGTAAAGACCTTTTTATTTAAACATCATTTCAATTGTTAAAACATATGATCTGGCCTGGGCAACTTCTTCTTCCTTCTCTTTCTCCTCCTATATTTTTATTTTATACTGATAATTTTAATTTTGTATTTGTAAATCAATGTATTTTTTGTATTGTTATATTTAATGGTAATTTATTATGTACTATTGTATTTCAATGTATTTTATCATGTTGTAAGCCGCCCCGAGGTTTCGGCAAGGGGCGGCATAGAAATGTTATAATAATAATAATAATAATAATAATAATAATAATAATAATAATGAATAATAATCAAAATCAGAATTATTAATCATTGAGACATAGTGTTTGAATTATGCTGTAGATAAAACACACCACATCATCAGTAATCTGACAAATGCTTCTGGCCTTATGGACCATTTAAAATGTAAAGAGGATTAATTGAAGTAGATAGGAAAGACCAGAATACAAATTACTGTAAAACTGAACCTGAAAACTGGATTCACACTTGGAGATAAGTGCCTCCTCTCATGCCAGGAAATTGCATTCTTTTGCTCATCCAGTTCCTTCTTCAGAGAACTATTTTAAAGTCATTTCTGGACCATCATATGGCTCACCCTAAGCTACTACCAACCTAGAATGACTCATGGGTTAAACTGCTTCTTAACGGATCAAGAAAGGAACTTGATAAATGCATGCAAGGCAGGTGTTTCAGTGATGAAAGGAATGATCCCATGGCCCTAAGACTTTGTCTGAGTAATGATACAATAATTTGGGTTCCCTTCACAGCCAAGTGTGGAAAGACACTTTGGAGAGGGGGAAAAAGGTGCGTTATGGTGGGGCAGGGGGAAGAGGCTGGAGAGGCCAGGATATGAGGCATCCTGGAGCTGCTTCAGCCTCATTTCCTTCCTTGCAAAATGCCCCAGCAAGAGGGCTGATAAAACCCTCCTACTGGAAATGTGGAGTCGGAGGAATGGTAAGGCAAAATTTGGAGATAGCCATAAACTACTGAGAGCAAAGACTTATGGGAATCCCAGCAAGACTGTGCCCTAGAAGTGGCCTTCAAAAGTAGCCTCCAAGGAGCAGTGCTGGGAACAAACAGTGGAGGTGCCTGCCAATCAGGAATGGGAAAATCTGTCAGCTTTGGTTTCTCCTGCATGTGAATTTCTTAAATCTCAAGTTCTTTCTTTCCAGAACATAAAAAGCATTGCAGATTTTGGCAAAATTTAATAGCAAATGGAAAAAGAAAAATCTTCCATGCAGCTAAATTCAATAGGTACAGTGATTTTCAACATGGAGAGAACTGCAATCATTTCTTTTTCAGCCCTATGATATTCTTTTTGTTTTTATAGATCTGAATACATTTCATTCCAAATGCAGCCAAATTTATTTCAGATAGAAATATAAGGACATTGTGAAGTTGGCTGTTCCTGATGGTATGGTAACTTCTACTTGTGTGCAAGTAAATGTGAGCATGCTTGATCTCTCCCCCCACATGGTTTTTGAATTGAGAATGGCAATTTAATGCTAGGGAATTCCTTGCTCAAGGTATGCCGGGTGCGCATTGTTATTTCCTGTTCCCTCCCACATACATTGATGGCAGGAGCATTTGGGGGACTGGCCACATGCAAACTTTTTCCCCTCTTGTGTGGGAGTTTCCTCACACACCCCTCATCTTGCCTCTCCCTTCAACTTGCCAATAATAAGGTGTTCCTGTCTCCTTCCACACCCACATCCCTGGACTTTATTCCAGTTACTGTGAAGACTTCACGAGTAACTCCATCTCCATTTCACAACCACCATCTAGAATACTTCCTCTCTCTGAACCAGCAGACAAGCAATTACTTAGTCTCCTTCTGCAGGCTTCCTTTGGGTGTGTGAGGTGGAGACACCCTTGCTCTGGGCTCTTGGCTCTGCTGAGCCCTTTTGCACTGGGATGTGCCATTCCTGTCCCTTGATTTCATATGGTGCTACTGTGCCCTGTCCTTTCCTTTCACCCTCTCTGTGCTGGCTTTCATAGTGCCCTACGCTACTGTATGTTGTGCACTCCGGTAACCTGGTCCACCCTCTGCCTTAAGCTAACTAAATAGGTTATCCCAATAAAAGTAAGAACGAGGACAAGACCATGCCCCTTCCTCACTTTTAGTCATCACATGAGAGGCTAAACCCTTGTGTAAGGCTATAGAATCTGAGCCCCTGTTCAGATTCCATGTGCATCAAATTGTACTTAATGAGCTAGTTCATATGATCAGACAGCTCACTATTACTAATTTTAAGCCATAGTGGCTTGCAGTGTGCTCCAGCATATGTGTATGGCCATTCTGAGCATTCGCCACCCAGTTGTGGTTTGTTGTGTCATGTGAAACCAGACAATGGAGATTGTATCACAGTCAAATTAATATTCAAATCCTGCCTGGCACGCAGATATATATGCTACAGTCAACTATGGCTTGAATAAGCAAGATTCATTTGGAGCTCTTCATATGTGGCTTGATTTTCATTATCCTGAAGAATAGAGTCTCATCTCCTGAGTGAGTTTCTTCGCTTCTTACCCCGAGTTCATTTGTTCATAAGAGAAATGCCAAGGGTCCCTGGTGAGTCCTACAGCTTGCTACATCCTTATCCAACCCAGGGACCTTGAGAAACAACTCTCATCATCCCCAGCCAATATTCCATGGCTTGCTTCTATTCATTGAGAAAAGCATCCATTCAGTCCACCCACAATTGATCTCTAAGACAGGTGATTTATTCCATAATCATTATGTTTCCTTAGGAGACCTACGTGCCTCTAGATGGAGGATTCATAGCACTAATAATCAACAAGGGCTTGTTCAGCAATTCCATCTATCCATTTTTTTTCTTTTTTCCTTAACCAGCTTTCTACAGAAAGAAAAGATATGGAAGAAGTGGTTGGAAGGCAAGGGCAGGCTTTGGGTGGATCCCACTGACATCTGGATCACCCCAAAAATTTGTGAATGAGACAGGGTAACTGTGGAAATGTAAACATAAACTGGGTATCTTTTACTATATGTGGTGGACTTGCGACAATGTGAAAAAGTATTGGATTAAAATACATAAATGGCTCGAGGAAATGTTACAAAAACCCTTAGCTTTTAAACCTGAAGTTTTTTTATTAGGCATTATACTGGAGGATATTAGTAAACAAGAAATGTATTTGATTTTACATGTAATCACTGTGGCAAGGATTGCATTCGCTCAACTCTGGAAAAGTGAGGAACTACCCACCGATGAATTGATTCTAAAAAAGATTTTGGACTGTGCAGAAATGGATAGATTGACTTTATCACTGAAGGAGAAAGAAGATACTGACTTCTATCAAACTTGGGACTCTTCATTATTGGCTAGAGAAACGGGACTTGGCTTAGATTTAAATATGACTATGGAATGTTAAAAAATATGACTAGGGGGCTGACCCAGTACGTCTGATGTATTTGATGATTGATGTTTTTAGTGTTAGTTTAAAAATCTTAATAAAATTTATTTAAAGAGAGAGAGAGAGAGAGACAGGGTAACTACAGCATACAAGCCTTGCTTAGAAGGACCTTTGATAAAATAATTTTTCCAAAGCTTTTTAAAAAAATCCAAGTAGGTAATGCAGCACAGGCAATTCTTACAAGGTTTTAATGTCAAGTAATATTGTCATAGCCATTATTATTATAGCAGCAGTAGCTAGCACTGCATAATTTAATAATATTAAACGTCCTAAAATATTACTCATCCTCCAGCCATGAGTCATGACATGAGATTTTATTAGAAGAGAGGTGTTACATGTCTTTGCACAATGTTTGTCATATTCAAGGAATTCTTAATTTTAAATATTTTTGGGTTTCATATGGGGTTGCCATTCTCTGACTGCAAACAAATCCCTTGTGCATTTGTTACTGCTCATCAAAAGTATTGCTCATAATCCTGATTATTAACATTTGTTGTAGTATGTTTTCTAATCATACTAATTATAAGAACTCTAGGAGTTGTTCCTCCTTTTCATCCCTGCAGCCTATTGTCTTGTCCTTCAACCTGATCCAAACAATGGAGGTTGTGAAATAGAAATGCCACTGCCTACCTGTTCATTGGCTTTCTGCTAGTCAAGCAAGCAAATGCTAATAACAGTGAAGGAGCAATAGCAGGTCATGAGAATGGTGGTGAGAACGTAGATTCATTGAGGGAAGGGACCCATGGAGAAAGTTTTACCCAATGGCTGTCAGTACCCTGGAAGACTGGAGCCACCGCTACATCTAACAGAGCTCAGGTACTCCAAATATTAAACCAGCGCTCATAGTTTCAGGATATGTCTTACTGGTTGTTGTAGATGAAAATACTTGAGGTTGTTGTGCTATTACATGTTAACACTTTGCTGTTTTTGAATTTCTTCTGTAGTTTTAAAGCTATGACAATGTATTGGATTTCTCTGGAACTGATTTAGAGCTTCTGTATATCACCAACCAACAGCAAAGCAAAATGACCACATTTTATGGTATCACTCTCTAAACTGTGGACTGGTAAGCAGATCTTCAGAAGTTCAGATGAATCCCCTCAGCTGGATGTAGACATTACTGCTAATGGAAAGGATCTGTATTTGGTTGTGATTAAACTCAGCAGGAAGAGTCACAATGAATTGCATGAAATGAAGCATGACCTTATAAAGTCTTAATACAGATCAAACTGACTTAGATTTTTTCTCCTTATAATTCTATCCATGAAGCACAAATGGTAGCATAAACTATACAAGAAGGTAGAGAAAATGACAAAAATAACATTACAATAATCTGGTCCTGTATTTGTAGTTTCAAAACTAATTTAAGATCTTCAAACTTACGGAAAGCAAGTGACCCTGATATTGTTTACTACTGCAATAATCTTCCCAATTCTTCTACAGTTTGTTTGGGTTGTGTACTGAAGGACTGTGAACACATGGCTTGAAGAAGAATATTCAAGGTAATTAGTTCACAAAGGACATGCACAGAAAATTGAGAGTCAACCTTCCAATGACTTTGGAAGAAGTATAGTTGCATATTTTGAGGTCATTTGAAAATGAAGTTCAATCTAATGTATCAAAACTACTCTTTTGGTTTTACTTGTACTATGCCCTGAGCACTTGTTTTATAGGCATCTTATGAATAATAATAATAATAATAATGCCAAGTAGGAAACAATAGTTTGTCTAAAAGTAGTAGGCTCAGACATGAAACAAAAGGAACTGGGAGTGCAGCATAATGAAAGCCTATGTAGGACTGTATGCTTGATCAGAAACTGTGCTTTCCCATTATGGTTCAATTGGTCCAAAGGAACTCATTTCCTCCCCAGCAAGTGGTGATAAGGGGTAAAATCTGGAAAGTATTCAGTGATATCAACACATTCCCAAACTTTGTGATTCAGCTCAACATTTTAAAAATGTGCATTAAATTCATATTATAGGGAAAGTGCCAAAAATGGAATTATATTAGGAGAAATACGCTTGCAAAAATGTATGTATTAGGAAAAGTGAATCAACAATTAATAAATTAGGAAGAAAGTGCATGAAGTTATAAATGCAGTATAATAAAACAAAAAATACAAACTGATTAAGAACACAGGAAAAATGAGAAACTGAGCAGAAGTGAACTCAGATAGTTGCATCTCAAGAAACGCATTTCCTTCTACAAAGTTGTAGAGAGGCATGTTAGGTTATCTAGGGGAAAAGACAACTTGGACCCACCCTGATAGGCACTCAGTAATCTCTCCTGAAACACCTGAAGATCAACAGAGTTTACCTTGGGTTGGAGTTACTTTTGGGAAAGTACTTTTTAATATCAATGAATAGTTGCATGATATGAGAGCATTACAAACCCTGCTGGAAATCATGAATGTAAATGAGTTAATAAAGAAGGCAATATATTATTTAGTATTATTTCAGTGGGTTACTTTAGAACTGCCCATTAATAAGCATCAAGTAATTTAAAGTTGAGGAGGGAGAAGAAAGCTTCCAGATGAAGCACATTTTCAGTTCATGTTTCCCCCAGAAAAACACTTGCCAGTCAAACACCAGGACATTGCTGACTCTTAATCATTAGCAAGTGTACAGAGCTGATAAGGCTAATGGCAAGGAAAGGGGCAAAATGCTAATTCCCAGGGAGGAAGATTAAATTCCATGCCAACAGAAGATGAACACCCATTATGATCAAACTGGATAGAAGAGGAATTTGGAGTCTTGAAGTAGAGTCTCAAAACTGTAAGCCTCTGTAACTTTGCTATTAAATCCTCTGAGCCCTTTCCAGGTCTTTTACTGCAGGATTACTGACTTTCAGCACAATCATATGCATGATGCAATGGTATGTCTCATTGAATTCAGTGGAGCTTACCAAAGTCGGTGTGTGCAGGATTGCAGCCATAAATTGCAATCCCATGTATATCTACTCTCAGAAGAAAAATTCTTTTCTTCATTGGGGGTTACTTCTGGAATGGTGTGTACATGACTGCAGCCTTAATTCAACAACATTTGTTGTCTCACAACTCAGTCCTGTTAGATTAAATAGAGGTAGAGCAGTGAGGTCCACCTTCCCACCAGCTTATAGGATGGTGATGCATACTGAAAAAAGCACTTGGAAAATTCATGGCAACCCCCATGGGCTATGTAACTGGCACGGATTTTGGTGGGGAATAAACTTCAAGATCCTGGTTTTAAAATTCACTGCAACTTATCCTACAATGTTTGGTAGGCTAAGAAATTTTGTATCTGGTCAGTTATGACTGATACTAGAACTTTCATCATGTATTTTGCACAACTGGGGTTCCAGAGGGTTCAAGAATGCTTAGAAGAGATCCACAATGTAATGAAATACTCTTCTGTAGAAGCATTATGGAAAAGTTGCAGAATGAATGGAGATAAATATGTATTACAACTATGGATTAGCTATTATTTTTCACATTTTACAGCATGCATAAAATGCTACTTTTATTGATTCATACATTTATTTTCACAAATAGCTGACAGAACTACAAGGCCTGGATTTTGATTTGCCTGCTATATACCCAACCTTTCTCCATTTAGCCTAACACTGTGGTGAAAATCATTAAGTGTTGTGCATTATCTCTCTGCACGTGTATTGGAGACAACATGCAATCACAATCTTCCCTCAGAAATATCACATTGGAAGATCCTGGAGAAGGTGCTGGAGAAAGATTAACAGCTACCAACAGCTCAAATTTCCCAGAAGGCCTTTTTTGGGGGGTGGGTAAAAGTCCTGAGATTTTTCTTGCTTTAAACCCCCATTAAAATGGTTTTTGCTATGGTTATAATTTATTTCATTTCCATATTGCCCAATAGCCAAAGATGTCTGGGCAGTTTACAAAAGAAGACTTTGCAAAATCTTCTAAATTTTCTTCTCCATTTTGAGTGGGTTTCACCTTCTTTCCCCTGGAAGAAGTTTGGATAGGAATTACTGTAGAAAATGCAAAATGAGAGACAGACTGCCAGTGTAGCTACTTCTGTTGCAAAAAAGAAAGAAAGAGAGAGAGAGAGAGAGAGAGAAAGAAAGCCCCTTAAAAGGAAGAGGAGGAGGCTGTTTTACAAGTCCTGCCAATGGTGAGTCCTCTCTGTGATAATTTTTTTCCCACAAAATAATTTTCTCAAATTGACACCCCTATTTTTTCTGCTCATGTATAACTCTGAGGTCTTCAAAAAGTCATTCGTGGACATCCCTGTTTTAGCTAGCTATCAGAAACTATGCAACAATTACGCAATGCACTATAAAGCAACATATTGTCTTGCCTTCCTTTTCTACCAGTAGCAACCTTCACTGAAATAGGTGTTTTCGATTTTTGCTTTGTGTTAAGCAGCTGGAAAGTCAATACATGGACATTTTAGAATAAATCATTTGAGATTTTATCTATTAATTTGTTGAAATATTTATAAACCATCTTTCTGGACTAGGTTTACCTAAGGAAAAGAACAGCCGCATGTTTGTTTTTTATTTCTTTGTAATGGAAAATATCATTTTTCCTTATCTGGAAACATTAAAGAAAATAAGATACCATAAAGCTAATGAAAACAAAATGAAGATGTCCAACTGTGTAACAGGTTGGAGGTCAATGCCTTTTCAGTGATGAAAAAGTATACAGGGTAATTCTATCTTTGCAATGTATACAACAGTTTACATTTTAGCTTACTTTTTAGTGCATATTTTCCAAAGAAAAACTTTTTAACTTTATTTATATCTAAATCATAACATGAAGAGGGGTATTAGAATAGGGGTATTTCATTTTTGCTCACAAGATGTGGGAACATGCTTTGACTAAACCTCTGCACATGAACATAGCCATGAGCAAAAGCATGTGCCCATTGAATATGTTCGTGAATCATCAAATATCTGCTCGCAGGTCACTCACTTCTGATTCCAAGTTGGATATGCATATTGCCTGATTTCTGCAAATTTCTCCATTGACCAAAAGTAGCCCTGTTGTTGTTATGGAGGGAATTAGCATACATTTCAGGAGATTTGCACGGATCACCTGTTTGATTGCGGATCGGTTTTTACAAATCTTGCATTCACACAGAGCAAGCAGTGATAACAAATGTGAATGTGATCAAGCATGAGACAAGCAGCGAGACAATAGTTGGAGAATGCTAGCAATCTTGAAGATCACTCTCTCACCTTTTCATATCCAGAGGAAGGATCCATACCACTTTTCGTTGCATCCATGGCCTCATCCTCTTATGAGGAAAAGAGAAGCCATTCTAGCACTTGCTTTTTGAAGGGCCTTGGGCAAGACACCATCGATGAATCTGCCCTCCCTCAGTAAATTATCTTCTGGCCACCATTGGGCCAACTGCTCTTGTTCCTCATCCGCTTTTTCATTGCTGCTGATAGCATCTCCTGCTCCTCCCCCTTATTGCATGGTCCAGAACAAGACCAGATAAACCAAGAGGCTGCAAGGGGAACAGTAAATGCAAGGCCAGTGGCTTCTTGTCACTAGGTTCCTGCTCAAACGTGGGCCCAACCATGCCTATCCTTATCACCCCACTAAAGGGAAACTCCTGCACGATTCTGCAAGTTGAAACCCACACACATAACATTAGATTTTTCCCATAGAGATTACTTCGAGAAAGCTATTCTGAGCACTTAGGCTTTCTCTTCCCAGTTAAAAACAACATTGAGGAAAAGGTCTTCAAGCCCTCACCAAAAGATCCATGCTGAAGAGACATGATACAAGTCACTTTAAAGGAACTTTCTTGCCTAAATACTATTACTGCTGAATTTTCCCCAGTCTTGTGTCCAGTCTGGGATTTTTGCCCAATCTGAATTTAGAGAATTCCAATTTTATTGATTTTGTTTCTAAAATGACACTGATACATTCAGCATAGGGTATGTTTCTGCTTTATTTCCTATCTTTGTTTCAGATTGCAATGCCTCTTTCTTTGCTTAGCTGTAGATTCCAGTTCACCTCATCTTGTCTCTTCCCTTCCTTATGGAACATTACTAATTGCACTAGTTCATATGTGCTTGAAGTAAATAATGGGAGAAAAATGAATTTGTTATCACATTGAATCTTTTCTATGTTGCAATTAATGTTTACACACACAGGTGTGCATCAGTAATGTGCAAATGTAACTGAAAATAATGGAAAGCTACACATGCCAGTCACAATTTTAGAATTTTTCCCATTCAAATTAAAAGGCAGATGTGGGAATCTGAGACAGAACAAACCTATGACAAAATAATAGAATAGACCAAGGGAAATTTACTTATCACTTCTTATTAGGATAGGAAGTGAAGAGCTTATGATCTACAGATCATATACTTTTCAGGCTTGATCCCAAAGAATCTTACATTTTAACTACAGTAGCAAATTAATCCATATTGTAATTTGCCTATGGCAATGAAACTGACTGGTGTGATAACACAGAATATACACAAATATACCAGTTCCTCCAGGAACAAAGCTGTTGTGTTGTTTGAACTCTCAAGTCCGTGTTTTAGGAAGGGAAAATTATCAGTCTGGAAGTAAACCCCACATGGGTACCTAGAGGTAAGACTGGCAAAGAAGGGCAAGAATCAATGAATCAGAAAAAACAGTGTCATATTTTTATTCAAACTAATCAACTAAGTACTTCTGAGGAATTATAAGAGATTAATTGAATTTGTATGAAGAAAAATTTAATACTTTAGTTTAAAAACGTCTGCCATTTCCTGGAAGTTAAATAAGATTGAGAGAAGGAAGATGTAAGTTACCATGAGGCCCTTGAAGGAAAAATGCATGATATAAATACAATGAATAAATAAGCATATAGAAGGGGCCACTGTTATGTTAACAGACTACTGAAAAAACCCAATTTCTCTCAATATGCTGAAAAAAAACCCTATACCTCTGATTGAATCCAAATGTTGTCATGAAGAGTTGAATATTGTTTTATTCCAAACTGTCATACAGAAGGTAAATTCAAGCTAGGCATTCATATAATGAGTGATGTAAATCTCAGCAGGCCTTGAAAATGAGATGCCCCACTTTTACTTTGGTCTCCTGTGAACTCATTAAGATAGCAAACATGTTTGCAAGAGCAGCTCAAATTGCACAAAGAAAATTGTGGTCCCCATAACATGTAATACTTCCAGCAATGAAAACAATTACTTAAAATTATGTACTGCAGCCCCTTTACTGCAATTCATTTTCCAAAAGCTTCCAAATCTATGTGGCAAAATATATTTTAAATTAAATGATACATGAGTTTAAATGGCACGTACTTCATTATACCATAAAAGGATTAGGCACAAGTGAAATGTGAGATAAGATTAATAAGAAGTAAAAAAACAATAGCTCAGCGTGTGTTTACGGTGGTAGTGGAGTGGAAAGGAAATTATGCAATCAACAACTTTGTGTTAGCAACATTCAGTCTTTTCCAGTATGAGAATCCCTATATAGCATAAGCATAACAGAAAGGAAACACGCACCCCCTGCCACAAGCAGTCTGAGAAATAGCCAAGTTTAATAAATGTTTTTCAGCTCATAAGTAAGTGTCTTCTCTTAGAGCAGGTGTATGCAACTGTGACCGTGTCAGGAGAGGGGTGCAGGCTAAAGCTGCCTCTTCCTTGATTTTCCATGAAGAGCAACACCAGAAGGACAGTGCACTCACCGGGTCTTTATTGCCTCTGTACACTTTCACTGGCTTGCTTCCGTAGCGCCTTGGCCTGGCCTGGCTCCCTTCCCTCCTGTCACTATGTCGCCCCGCCGGAACCGCTGCCCAGTCTCCGCTCTCCATTTGTGCTGGCTTGCCTGCCAGCCACCGCCTTGCCCGCTCTCCACACGTGTGTCTCCACTTTGTCTCCTCTCTCCTCCCTTATCCGCCCTCCTCCTGCACCACTCCACCCAACCCAGCTGTTCCTGCCTCCATCCGCAATTCCGTACAGCTGTGCGCTTGCAGCGTCTCCCGGCCAGAGTTTTCTCGCGAGTTGCTCTCCCCACACAGATTCCCAGCCTTGCCCTGTTATCTTCAGCCCTGCTCTGTGGAAGGCCCCAGGAAAAGGGGCGAGCCCCCCTGCCTCCTCACAGCAACCTGCTCATGGACACTAATATACCCCCAGACACTTCTTTTGGCATCTCCAAGGTGCCCCACATGTCTCACTTTTTTTAATATTAACACATTTTTCTTACAGACTACAAGGATCACTGTGAAATAGGTTTCTATTGGTGCTGCAAAGTATGAAAAAATTATTCATTGCATTGGGGCTCAGCCCCTGCCATGGCCTTATGCACAGTCTTTTGGACAAATTACTTGTTTTTTGCTAGCACTTTCATGGAAGCCATTTTTTTGCCCAGGACAGTTTTTCCAATTGCCAGATGTGATCACACCGCCCAAATACGTTGCCTATCCCTACTTTATAGGATCTCCAAGAATCACCATCTAAACACATTAATGAGAGGAGCATATCCTTCCGCAGGAAAAAATGATTGTGGGGAAAGGAAAGGGAAAGGGTTCTGATTTTTTTTAAGCACTCATATGTTTGTGGAAGGAAGCTAAGCATGTCCTGTTAAAATCAGTTGGATCCAATATCTGGAAAATGCACTAAGCATGTTAGCTTTATAGAATAATCCTACCCTTGTCTATCTACTCAAAATCAAACCATATTTGAGTGTGATGGCATTTATTCCCAGCTAATATGCATACAGAATTGCTATATGCAAAACCTTGAAAAGACCAGTTCTAAGTATTTGGGATAGAGTGCGGGGAGATGCATGATGTCATCAGTGCATCCAGATGCCTTCTGGCTTACAATGACTAGGGCTGGTTGGCTTTTAGCTGTTCCTTTACTCTTTGTTTGTTAGTTTGTTTGTTTTTAAATTTTCCCTCCATCCAAACCAATGAAAAAGAATTAACTATGTCAGCTCCGGATGTCCTTGCTCCTTCCAATTCTTTGCTAGTATCAGTTTTGGTGCTGTTACCAAATATATTATTAATTCTTTAACATTCTATTTCCATTTCTTTTCTTAAAATATTAACAACAATGCTATTTCAGGATCTGTTTCGATTTTTAAGTTCAATATCTTGCTAATCTCCTTAAAAATAATTATCTAAAATGTCTTAATATTTTCATATTTCTACCAGATATGGAAATAGGTACCCATTTTTGTCCACATCTCCAACATAAATTAGAATATTTATTATCCATATAGAAGAATTTTACCAGCATCATATACCATTTCCATACTAATTTATAAAAAGATTTTCCCCATTCTTCCTTGTCTATATCCTTCCCTAAATCCTGGGAAGAGAGATCTGAGGTTAATGATCTCTCCAATTTTGTGATGATGGTACTGAGGGCAGAACTTACATTTCCTATGATGCTTGGGATGCCTTTCCAGGGGGCATCAGATTGTCACCTGAATTTGTTTTTTTTTTAAACTTTTTATACCATACCAATCACATATGAATAGACTCTCATGAGGTCTCAAAAGAATGGTGCAAATACAGCTCCCTAATAGTTTAGGTAATCTTGATTGTACCCTATCAGATAATTTTGAAGTGTAGGACCTATATAAGTAATGGTCTGATGAAACAACAACCACAGGAAACAGAGTTAGGTAGATCCAGTTACATTCTAAGGCTCACCATAGGCACCATATTTACATCCTATCACATCCTCCAGGAACTCACCTTATGAACAGGCCTGGGCGCTTCCCCTTGTGCGGAGCTCTCTGAAGGTGAGTGCCTCTCCTCTCCACATGCTGCTCATTCAATTGGACTCCTTTATCTGCTCCTGCCTTGCAATGGGGTCAACAGCAGAGGAGGCCTAGACTGCCTCTGAGAATTTCTCATTCTGAGACACCCCTCACACTGGCTCTACAACCCAGTCATCCCCAGGAACTGCCTGGCCCCATGAAGTGTTGAAATAATTCCCACTTTATCCTTCTGAATCTCAGAACCTTGACCTAGCCCATCCTCAGTGATCTCACTGAAATATGTTGCACTTTCCGATTCCAAATTGTCTGGAATGCAGCCATCAGTCCATGGGAATGATTGTCCAAGACCACCATCCTTCTTACTCCCCAAATTGACATAGATTTCCAGTTTAGCTATGAAACGGTTTTTATAATTTACAATTTAATTTTAAAATTATAATATTCATACTATAAATTATGGGATTTAATCAGGTCATAATGCCATGGTAGGTGCCAATTCTTTTAAAAAGATTACATAGAAGAAATAGCATGCTTTTGTCAATGGTTTTCAGCTTGCAGCTCTTGGCAGACTATTTGCTTTCATAGTAAAGTTCCTTGCTTTAAGAATAGAAAAAAATAGAATTCACAAAGAAGACAGCAAAAACAGAAGGCTAGTCAAACATATGCTACATGAAGGGGTATAACATGTGGACCTCACAGAGATCTGTATCAGGACCGTTTAAAAACAAAAACCTTATCCATAAATGATATGGGATCAGGGGCAGTGAAGCAGTGAAGTGGCCAAGTTTGTTGATGGTACCAAATTACTTAGCTTCTTTGTGAGTTGTTCCAGATGATTCTCTGGTAAAATACGCATCAAAATGGCAAAGCAGTTCAGTGTAAGCAAGTGTACATGGATGTACCTTGGGGCAAACAAACAAATAAATAAGGCCAATGTGAGGTATACACTGCTGGAATCTGAGCCAGCTGTGGCTGACCAAAAAAGGAATCTTGGCACTTTGGTCAACAGCTTGATAAAAATGTTAATCCCTATATGCATCTTCTGTGAGAAAGAAAATCTCCATGCCAGGAAAAATTAGGAAAGGAATTGATAATAGCACCATACTGCCCTTGTACAAATCTATGATGTGGCCACACTTAGAATACTGTGTAGAATTCTGGTCACCACATTGAACAAAGGATATTGTAGGGCTGAAACAGTACAGACAAGTGCCACCAAAATTATAAGGGTTGGAGCAGCAGCTGAAACTATCTCACCTAGAAGAAACGGTAAATAAGGGGCAATATGATAGAGGTGTACAGAATTATGCATGACGCGAAGAAAGTGGAGAGGGAGACGTTTGTGCTAGATACCAAGATTGCTAGATACCAAGATTGTCCCATGAAGCTGATTGGTGGAAGATTCAGGTCAGATATAACAAAAGTACTTCTTCAAATAGCATATAGTTAAACTATGGAACTCACTCACTCCCCTTAAAAGGGGATTGGACAAATTCTCAAAGAGAAGGCTATGGGTGGGTGTTACTTCCAGTTTCAGAGGCAGCATGCCTTTTGTACACCAGCTGCTGGAGAACTCTGTTCTCCAACACTTACCTCACTTATCTCCAAGCATCTGCTGCCTGAAGCAGCCACCTCACTTTTCTTGGAGTCTTCCTATTTTAGTTGCATCCAGCACAGGGGCATTTTTGCAGAAGAAAATAGCTTGTGTGACAAATTACATGAAACTCAGCTCTATTTCATTTAGAAACTCATTTTTCCACTCTTAAATCTGTTCCTTCCAATTTCTGCATTGGATTCTGATGGTTATTATTCATGCATATGTTTGTGCATATTTTGTGTTCTTTTTTAATTAAAGCATGCAATTTTTGCACACCTTTCAAGTACACATATCGCAAGATATTTTTATTGAATAATATGTTTTGTGCACATTTGTGCACATTTTCAAAATTATGCTTTTTGCATGTACCATTACAAATGGATTGTTGGGTGCATTGTTTGAAGTGTACACATTATTCTTGTTCTTAATTTGTAAACTTTCTTGAAAGCTTAGGAAATTCATAATTTTGGAAATGTATGTTTTGTAATTTTACATTGAAATGAAAACCAAACAACATTCTATCGAATTTGTCAATTCACTATTGCATGTATTTTGGCTCTCAGATGGCCTTTACAGAATTTCACAAATCCAAGGAAAATAAGTTATTCAAAGTACAATCCTCTGCATGGTTAGACCAAGAAAGAAAGAAGGAAAGGAAAGGAAAATCATGAATACTTGATCAAAAATTTACAATAGCAAAATACAAAATCAATATAAATGCAATACTATGCTCATAGCAAATGCAAATTCTAATACAATATTAACAACAGAGCAATGCAAAATCAAACAAAGTTACTTAAACAATAACATTCATAATGTTAAATAATAAAACACAATGAACCCCACCCACTCAAACCCCCATACACACCAGCACAGACTGGGTGAAATAATATTCTCAGCACAAACCCACCTCAGCATTTCCCTTCCAAGTAGAAAAAAGTAAAAGGCACCATCTTTGGGCCCCCACCCCGGGTGGCACACCCAGAGCAGCGCACCTCCCCGTTAGTTCCTGTTCAGCTGTCGCTCCCCTCCCCAGCCTCCTCGGCCGAGGAAGAGGTGGAGAATCAGCACAGAGAGCACAGCTAGCACCTCGCTGGTCCTGGAGAGCAAGACGTTGCTGTCATGCATGTGCAAGTCAGCAGCTCTTTCACAGACCAGCAGGAAATGTTGGTGGGAGGGTGCCAGTCTGCAGTCTGGCAGTTGTGAACCACTGCTCCAGACAGCTGCTTTCAATAGTCTTGTTTTATTACTGCAGAGGGGGAGGGAAGGAGCCAGGCACATAGATAGAATTTGGCATAAATGGTTAACCCCAGCCACTTCCCCTTCTTGCTCACTGGAATGTCCTCTTTGCAGCCCAGTTGCATCCTTCGAGAAGAAACCATTGTGGTTCATTCTG